TCAAATTCTTTCTTCATGAATTTGTGGAATTTCTTGATGACGAGTCCGAACTCGTTGTCATCATCGCTTGAGTCTTCTTCCACGGACTCCTTGGTTGCTTTCAGCGCTATACCTTTCTTCTTTTGTTCATCCAAAGACGGGGTTAGGATAGTAGATTCATAAGTTTTGAGATTACCTCTTAGCCCGTCGATGGTGACATTTGAGACTCCGATGGATTCATAAATTGCATCTGCCTTTGATCTCCATTCGGGTGTGAGGCTTCGCAGGATTTTCCTCACGAGATCCCTTTTGGTGTACGTCTTCTTGAGAGCGTGCAGGTCGTTGATGATTTTTGAAAACCGATCGAACATGTCATCGATCTTTTCTCCTTCCTTCATCCTGAACATCTCGTACTCCTGCGTTAGGAAGTCAATTTTGGCTTCCCGAACTTGGTCCGTACCTTCATATGTGACCTCTAGCTTGTCCCACATTTCTTTGGCAGTGGTGCAGCAAGAAATCTTACGATGATCATCAGGATTGACCGCACAATACAGCATGTTGATTGCCTTGGCGTAGTTCTCCACCTTTTTGATGTCTTCGGCATCAAATTCATCCTCGGTCTTTGGGACGAGTATTTCATCGACCTTCTTCATTGGAATTTCCTCGCCATTCTTGATGACCAACCACAACTGAAAGTTGGTTGAGCGGATATAAATTCTCATCCGCTCTTTCCAATATGTGTAGTTGGTGCCATCAAAGAGCAGTGGCCTCGAGGTTGATTGACCTTCTCCAATTCCTGCATAAAGATTTCTAGAAGAAGAACCCATGATCGCTTTACTCTCAAACGGTTAAGTTTGGACGCGAGTTAGGCTCTGATACCAATTGTTAGAATAAGTGACCAACGCTAGAGGGGGGGTGAATAGCGTTTGATCGGAGAAATCGCAGGAAATTAAGAAATTAAAAGAGAAGTAAAGAGAAGAGTAAAAAGGCACACCGAATTTTACCCTGGTTCACCACAACTTGTGGCTAATCCAGCCTCCCGAGAGACTCTCTCGAGCTACACTACTATCTCGTTAAGCTTGCGGGTGCTTAACAAACCGTTACAACTTGAGAGTTCGAGTCACACGAACCTCAACGAATCCTTCAAAGGAAACAGACCTTCCTTTGAATCAACAAGAGAAATACTTTTTCTCAACGTGTCTAAGAACACAAGTACACTCAAGAACGAGACTCTCTTGTAGAGTAGATTATGAGTAAACTAAGTACGCTCAAGAACAACTAAACCTTCACACACAAATGGCTCTTAGAAAGATATGGAAAATGATGATATTTGGATGCAATGAAAGTATATATGTTGTGAAGTGAATTGGTGAGAAAAGCAGACCCAAACACCCCTTTTTATAGTGCCAAAGAAGGCTCCAACGGACCAATGCATTAAAGGGGTGATTAGCTTGATTTATGGGATTGAAAAAATTTGGGATCTGCAGAATATTGGCTTCCCATCGATGTTTAGACTCAACCATCGCTGGTAAGCCAATTTTCCTTCAGTTTTGAAGTCAACGGTCGCCTACCCATCGATGGGTACAAGCTTCCCATCGCTGGGTGGGAGGTTGACTTCCAAACAAGGAAAG